TGTCTCAGAATTAGGGGTATTCAAAGAGGGTAGGAAAAAAATTAACAAGGTGTTTGCCTCAAAATTCAAAGACTGGAAGTAGAGCAGCTTTCCCAGTTTTAAAAGTGCTTTTAAGAAGTCACATAATTCAATCTGAATTTCCAGAATCTGAAAAATTGAAATGTAAAATCCAAAGGAAAGCATGGAAGTAGTAGAATTTATTTTCATAGCCTACCTACAATGAATGAAAATCACCTTTTTTCCTCGTTTTCTGTTGTTTCCAAATGTAGTTCTGAGAACTTGTTTAAATCAATTACCAGCTTTTCTTCCCAAGTATAATAATGTGTGTTTAGTTTTACTGTTAACTTAATAGGTTTACATGCTTTTTAAACTGCCTGCGAGTAAGGATTAGAATGCCAAACAAACAAAAAGGTGGTAATAGAAGATAATTACAGTTTTATTTCAGTTGCACCATGTGATTATGAGATGTGTTAGGTGTGGTTAGAAAACTACGAAGATACAATTCCTGCCTTGAACTAAAGCATGAGCTGCAGAAATTCTTCCAAGTTTTTTGAAATAAATCCATTCCCTGGGATGGATCTATGCTCCTGTGAGGTTTTTTTTTGTTGACTTCAGCAGAAACACTGTTTGCTGTGCTCTTAGTGAGAATGAAGGTTGTTGAACCCAACTCCTCCCAACATTTCAAAACAGTTCTGATACTGCAGCTCCTGCTCAAATGAGTTTTGCTGTGTTTTATGATTTTAAGAAGAGTTACACAGGAATTTGATATAACATGACAGGACATGACACGAAGCACAGAATAACATCAGTGAACACTGAATATATGCACCTAAGAGAAGAGATTTTCCTGTAAGAACGCAGCTTTAAAAACTGTAACCCTACCTGACCGTGTACATGTCTTTAGGATTAGTTTTGAAACCTTTGCTGGCCATCTGAATAAATTTCTCTCTTCTTTTTTCAGTCTTGCTTATCATGAGCTGCTTAGTCACAAGCATTGCTCCTGTTGAGTGAATAGCTTCGTTCTCCCTGAAGAACCCCTGGGAAGCTCAGCCACCAGGTTCCCTCTGTTCAGCACTTCACAGCACACTGGTAGAAGTCTGTGGCCAGCTGCAGAATTCCTTAATTTTGTGAAAAACGAGGTTCACTTTCCTGGTAAATTTTAAATGGTTTAATAAAAGACAGTAAGAGACAATAAACAATAAAAGAAAAGGTTATAGGTCGGGTGCTTGACATTCAGCCACGAGCACAGCACTAACTCAGAGAACACCTCTTTAAATGCATCAACATGTTGCATATTCATAGAACTTCATGAATTATTCAAAATCACCCCCCCACACACCCTGTAAATCAACATTTTTAAATTTCTCCTTGTGGCTCCCTGATAAGATCAATAAATTCCTTCCCTGGGGTTCTGGTGTCCAATAATCCAAGAATGTGAAGAATTTCCTGTTTATCTTTTTTACCTTTCTCTGAGTTAGTTACACGAAGCTTGTTAGTTACAGAAGCTTTTTACATCACCACGTTATAGTCCAAGAAGCAAAACTAAAAGAAACTATACTCACACAGCAAAGTTTTCCAACATTATACATGTAGCATTCATTTTAATATTTGCAAAAAGTCAATAATACAAGATGTACTTATAACAATTTTCTTTTTCAGTTGGCAAAGCATCATGATGTTTATCCATTGGAACAGCGCTGATGGCTTGGCAACACAAGCACATTTAATTTTCTTGCCCTTTGGTAAAAGTTAAGGCCCACCAGAACAAGGGAGGGGATGAAACACGGAGACTTTTAGGTAAGCTTTGAGCCCTCTGAAATTTGAACAATTTGCAAAAAATTGCAATTTAAAAAAAAAAAAATAGAGAATTTACACAATCACTGGACTTGGCTGCCAGTAGGGCCACAGCCTGTCTGGGCCACAACCTTTGATTTCCATTGAGAGGAATGAGGGATTTGTCTTTACAAACAGGCTCTGGGTCTGCTGGAAGATTAGCACTGGGAGATAAAAGAAACAATGGGATGGATACCACTGATTGATGAATGGAAAAAGATATTTGCCTTTAAAAAAAAAAAAATGTAGGTTTGCTGATAAATGAAACTGGATATTGAAAGAAGCAATGGGGACAAACTATGAATTCTATAAGAATTAAAAATTAAAACGGAGGGTTGTACATTACAGGGGAATCTCAGGTATCAGGTGTTTGGGAAGTCTGTGCCTCTCAAGTACCTCAGCCCACGGGGAAAGAAAGAGGGAAATGCGGCCGGGAAATTGGGATAAAGAGGAGATGCGACCCAAAAACTGGAGAGACCCCAGGGGAATGTCCCATGGCCTCTCCCTTTATTCGAATAAAGTAAAAGGACTCCTCTGTCTCCTTTTTGGACATAAACCTCTGGCGTTTGTGGATTAATTTTCCTGACACTCCTGTCCAAGGGTGCTCAGACACCAGGGCTTTTCCTCGCTTTGCCTCACACGTTCTCCTTCTCTGTCTCCCAGGTTTTGCGGGCTCTGGGCCTGGCCCGGCGCTCCTGCATGGCCGGCCCTGGCCCTCGGGGGGCTCCGTGAGGGCGGCCTGGGCCCCGCGGAGCTCCATGAGGGCGGCCCGGGCCCCGTGAGGGCGGCCAGGGTCCCGCGGAGCTCCGTAAGGGCGGCCCGAGTGCCGTGGAGCTCCGTAAGGGCGGCCAGGGCCCCGCGGAGCTCCGTAAGGGCGGCCCAGGCCCAGTGAGGGCGGCGGGGACCGTGGAGCTCCGTGGAGCTCCGTGAGGGCGGCCCGGGCTCCGTGAGGGCGGCCCAGGCCGGACCCGCCCCCGCGACCGGCGGGGCGAGGCGGGGCCGGGCCGGGCCAAGCCGCAGTGTCCGCCGGGGAGCAGCGGGGCTCGGATCGCCGCGGGCACGGCCGAGGTGCGGGCGGGAGCGGCGGGGCCCGGCAGCCAAACCCGCCGCGGGTGCGGGAGGGCGGTGCGGGAGCGCGGAGCTCCGTGCCGGGGGGATTTGGGATGGCGATGTCTCCCGCGGGGCCTGGCCGGGGATCAGCAGCTGGGTTGGGAGCGGAGCCTGCGGGCAGACGAGACTTCTCCTGGAGAAGTGGCGTTTGAAAGGCGCACGAACAGGCGGCCCTGGTGATGCTGTGGCTGCCCGGGACACGCGTGGCGGGGGCGGCGGGAGGGTCCGGGCCCCCACAGCGGGGTTGCAGAGACCGACCATTGTCATTACCATCTTTGTTATTGCTGTTAGCCGTGTGTATCGGGCTGTTTGCAACCCGAGTGAGCCGTGCTGCTCGCGTGTTTGGGGTTTGTTTTGGCACTTTCTCTCCCGATTTTTTCGGTGCCCTTCCATTTTGTGCTGGGGCGGGTCCTGGGTATTGTGGGAGCCCGGAGAGGTCACAGGGCAGAGGGGGAAAATGGATGGATGTGGCTGAGCTCCAAAGCTGCTGCTGGACAGTGTCCCCTGGCAATGGCTTGGCATCATTCTTGGCTGTATTCTCAGCATAGCGTAGGGAAAAACGCTCTGACGCCGTGGATTTGTTTTTGTTGTGTGAAACACTGCGTGCTTTTTGCTGTGATACAAAGTTAAAAGTGGCAGGACAGTTCTGTTGTAATGTTTCAAAAGGATTGTTAAAATGAATAGAGCCAGTTACTGTCCGTTTCTGAGGAAAGTCTTCTCCAAGTCGCTGTTTGTCTTGGGAGCTGGACTGTAATGAGAGACGAGGCAAAGTTACATTGAATTAATTTCCCATGGTCCACAGACCCTGTGCTAGGCCCAGTGAGCCAAGCACTGTTTTAGAAAGGATAAAAGAGGGAGCAAAATCCCATCACCACAGCAGACAGGTCCAGGCAAGGCTAGCTTTGTTTTCAGTGGGCAAACAGCTGCTCACCTCCATCCTGCCCACTTCCTCACCGAGGACGTGCCTTCAGAGCAAGTCTTCCAATAATGCTCTTTGCTCATCAAGTTCTCCGTGTTTGGCAATAGCTGACTGTGCTGAAAGCAAGGTGAGAGGTTGTTAAAACTGTAATCGAGTGAATATTAACATTTTTATTGCTATTGTTAAAATTATATCACAGAAAGTAAGTTCGCTGTAACAAAAATGTTAATTTATTTCGGTTTCTGGTGAAGCTAAGACATCCCAGCTGTATGGATTCCTAGTCACTGAGAGCATGGCTGAAGCACTTGGGGAGGCAAAAGCCTGGTTCTGTGCAGGGCAAAAATTGAATGTGCACGGGGATGTGCTTTTTTTTTTTTTTTAACCTGCATTCACTCCTCAGCACCTCTTAACTTTGTGGTGTTGATAAAAGGTAGTGCCTCCATAGGATTGTGGGTTTGGTACGGTCTCCTTGGAAAGAGACTTCATTAGTTGAAACCTCCCATGATAAAAGCAGAAATAGTCCTCTCCTTTTTGTCATTACAACTTAATCTTTGCCCGTGAGTCATGCTAAAAGCAATTGTTAAGAACAAGGTCTCAAAGGGGAAAAAAAATGCGTGTTCAACTCAGTTTGATCACAAGTTACTGCTGGGTAGGAAGGTACTGGTTAGTTTGAAAGCTGAAGTGCAATTATAATTGTGTCATTCTGCACACAAAAAGAGGTAGGCAATACTAATTTTCCTCTTTACATTCTGTAGCGTTCATAGCATTGTCACACACTCCTTCTATCCTGGTAACTGCTTAGGGAAATTTGCTAATTTAAACGAATTGGTTTAAAATTGGTCTAACTCCTTGTGTTATTTCAAAAGAGTACTAATTTCTGTGACTAAGTGTTGTTTCTGCAATTACATTCAATATTTTGGTAGTTTGTACCTTGACAGTTTAATAAGCACTTATAATGGAAGCAAAACATTATAATTTATCATCTTAATGTATTATATTATGCTATTGTGAAAAAAAAAAAAATAAAAGGGGGAAATTGTTTGAAAAGAAACTTTCCATGGTTGCAAAATCATGCTGTCATTGCAGTGATGCTAAAAAACAAGGGCTGTTAACACAGTGTTGTTGTCAGAACTTTGGATTGCAACGATTTTAGCTTTAACTAACTCTAATGTTTTTTAGTGGTCGTCAGTGAGAAGAGGAGAAATGGCCAAATCCACCCAGTTAATTGACAATGAAGTCTTCCGGGCTTATGCTACTTATGCAGGCATTGTTCTTATAAAAATGATGCTGATGAGTCTGATAACAGCATACTTCAGGATCACAAGGAAGGTAATCCTTTGGAAATGCTGCCTGGGAGAACAGACTGACATTTGTATTGAAATGCAGAGATATCACAGCTATGTCTCTTCAGCTTCCAAATACTGCTGCTGTTCACTTGCTTCCTCCTCTCTGTTCTGGAGAGATTCTGAGTTTGCTGCTCTGCTGGTCTCAATTGGATGATGTTTTTAACCTAATTATGACACTAAATTATACATGCATTTGTCTCACTCTAGTCTTCTAAAACATTTCTGTTATTTTTAAATAAGAGTTTTTCATAACTGTCATTTCCATTGTCTTCTGCAGAAAGCTCATGTCCAGGGTACCCCATTTATAAAGCAACAAAAGTGTGATATGGAGCCATATTACATGAATAACCAACTGGTAGGGTCAGAAGAGGGGAATAGATTTTTATTCATCTACGGCCCTTTCATCCAATAATTAAGCTTTTTGCATTCCCTAATTATTGTAGTGGGTAGGTCACTATCTGAAAAGAAATTATTGTTTTTGTAGAGTGAGAAGCACTCCAATTGAAAATTGGATTTTCAGTTTTGAAAATATCTTGAAACATTTGCAGGTATATGAAGATCTATGGTTTGATGTTTGGGTTAGATAAAAAATATGAAAGCTCCACTGAGGTTTACTAAATATTGTAGAAGCTGTGTCTACTTTAAAAGTACTCATGGGAAATGTGTTGTGTTTGCCCTGTTCTTGATCTTCCCTAGGCATTTTCTCATGGCCTCTGTAGGAAACACTTGGTCCTGGGCTGAAAGAGCCCTGAGTGAGCCTCACATGACTGTTTTTATAAGATTGCTTCTGCAAGACTCTGGGTGGTTCAAGGATTTTGGTGCAGTCCTTTTGTTGAAATGCTGCTTTTTGTTGCTGCTTGTTGCAGGAGAACCCAGCTGAGCTGCTCTGTGGATCCAGGTGGATGCACATGACAATAGGGCCTTCAGTAATTTGGAGGGCTTGGTTTCATTGTGTTAGTAATACTACAAACAGAAAAAAATAGCAATTTTAATTTTCTATCTAATGTAGAAAAAAAATCTTGGAAGAAAAAGGAAAGGAGTGAAGTAAGAGAATGTAAAGTGTTGCTGATGATACTGTTAATGCACCTCTAGAATTCTGAGGCTGAGGATGTTTCACAAATAGGGATCAAGGCTGCCCTGGAAAGCAATCATGTAGCTCTCCTAAAATCAAAAGATTTTCTTGACTTATATCTGCATAGCCTGAGCAGTTCACAGAATGCATATGTTACTCATGTTTCAGCAGAGAAATCAACTGCAGTCTGCACTGCCTGAATTAAATGTTATTTTCAAGTAGTGTCTTGCAGTATTTTGAGGTAATAATGGGTCGTGTAAATGTAAAAATTTGTACCTAAGAGGAAAGGGAGACACTTCCTTGATCATAAATGAGAATGGGAATAATTGGATATTATTGCTGTGTAGACTTGTGTAGAAGGAAGGGATCCAAAAGCACTTTCAGATAATTTGTCAGGAATGGTGAAAAAGAGACTTGAGACCTTGTACCCCATAGGTGCCCGTGTTCAGTCATCCTGCTGCCTTCACTGCAGGCTTGTCCACCTCACAAAAGGCTTTACCTAAATGCAGGAATTTGTCAGCACACAAGCTGTGTGCAGGTTGGGCTGAAGAAAGCAGTAATGCAGTGAACAATTGTATCATTCCCTGTGATTTTAACTTCAGGTGAGGAAAGTGAGGTTATGGAGGCTTTGGTAAAGAGTGGCCTTTATAGCAAGCTGCCTGGACTGGATAGAACATTTTGGCTGCTAATGTCACTTGTGTGCTTGTGTTTGGAACAGGCATTTGTCAACCCAGAAGATACAGAATCATTTGGAAAAGGGGAGAATGCTAAGAAATACCTGAGGACTGATCCAGATGTTGAACGTGTACGCAGGTAAGACACAGGAACCTTTAAAAGTTATTTGAAATAACAGAATAATATTAAATCAAGGAGTTAATACCACCCTGTTCTCTGTCAAGCCTGTGTGTGTTTCATGGTCCATTATGTAGCAATCTAATACATTAATTAGTTTAAATGAACAAACCATTCCACATTCAAATGTTCAGTGTGCATTCTAAAAACAAAAGCCACTGTCTGCTTATAACAGCAAACTCTTGGCTAGTGTCTTGTCTGCATGGGCAAAGTTGTGAGAACACTGTAAAATATGACCATAAGTTGATGTAGCTCATGGCAAAATTTTCTGTTTCCAAAATCATAAATTTTGGGATGCTGTTTGATACACCTGTGCTAACAAGGAAAGCTTTAGTGGAATGCTTTCCATAGGATTATTCTTTGATGAAGCTAAATTGATTTTTATCACAAGAATGAACTCTTCTCATTTAAACCTCCATTAAGAAGAACTTGAAAATATATACCAGTGCAGATTTAAGAACACTGCATCCTTGCAAATCATGGCTGTTGTTTCACAAAGCATATTTCTGTATGCCTCTTGTGGATTAAAATCTCAGAAAGAAGAGCCTAATCTAAGTGGGCTGTAAAGATGTTCTGCTCCTTCCTTCCCTGCCCCTGAGCAGTTCAGAGAATTGTTGCCTAATTTCATGGGTGTTACATAAAAGTGGAATCTTTCATGGTGAGGGGTAAATTGTAAGAGACCAGCTAAGTTGAGACTTAACTTTATGAACCATTTAACTCAAATTGTTGTGGTAGAGAAATGATTACCACTTCAATCACTTTCACAGAACAGATTTTTAAAACAATTAATTAGCAAATCTTGTTTTGCTGTTTTGTGGAGTTTTTCAGACATCCCCAGACCTAAGTAAGTCAGCTTGGTTCTAGTTACTGTGTTGGTGTTGCAGCATTCATATTTTCCTCCCAGCTGTGGTTCTTAGTGGAAGTTTTCTGTATTTTCTTCTGCAAGCTTCATGGCACCAGATAATGTCACATAAATTTAGCATGGCTTCTCTTTTATATAAGTGATTGGAATGTGTTCAGTTTATGGGGGAAAAAAGATTTTTTTTTTCAAGAAAAAAGATTACTTTCCTCAGAGTACTTTTATGGGGAATTGGAATAAAAAATCTGGAGGGACATGTTTCCTTGTAATGATAAATATATTCTAAAAGCAGCTGCAAGACAGTGCCATGACCTGATTCCAGTTGGCTCTGAAATTTGACATCATTAGTAAGGCTTAGGCATTGTTTCAATCAGTAAATTAGGCTGGAAGTATAATTTATCTAAAGAGGTGAAGGGAGCTGGGAAGGTTTAGGAAGGGGTGTGAGAGAACACTTCAAGATATGGAGTTCAGTCTCAACACATTTTTAGTAAATTATATTATGGTTTCAAAATTTCAAACATTTTTTCAGCTATTTTAGTGCTCAAAGTGGAGAAAATGAACGAAAAGCGTAGCAGTCACACCTGTTAGATGTTCAAAAATAATCTTCAAGATGATGGAACTTGATAAACGTTTGATGGAATGATTCCTATGGAGGATATTTCATGTTTTCTTTATGGACAACACAGAGTGGATCTATGGGATTAGAATAGACAATCTGGGCCATGAACTGTGATAGTTTCAGTCACAGTTCTCCAGTTAATTGATGTTAATTGAGAGAGGCTCCAAGAAAACAGCTACCTCTCTTCTTCCCTGACTTTGCATGCCCAGGTGCACTCAGATACCTCATGTAAGTCCTTAATATTACCAAGATCCTAGGGAAAATCTAATACCTTTCATACTGAAGATCAGAAGTTTAAAAATGTGGAGCAGCAGCAGCAGGAGACACCAGAGTGATGGCAGGTGAAGATGCCAAAATTGTTTTGGTAGCTGAATCAAATCCCCTCTGCAATGGAAGCCAAGAGTTGTTGAATAGTATGGTCTGTAAGATGCTGAAAAATAATGAGGCTTGAAGTGGTTTATTCAGCAGAATGTAACACTTGAAAATAACTTTGCTTCTTTCTCCAGAGGCCACCTGAACGACCTGGAGAACATTGTCCCCTTTGTTGGCATTGGACTGCTGTATGCTCTGAGTGGCCCTGAGCTTTCCACGGCCCTGCTGCACTTCAGGATCTTCACTGGGGCTAGGATCCTTCACACTTTTGCCTACTTGATCCCCCTTCCCCAGCCTGGCAGAGGCTTGTCGTGGGCAGTTGGCTACTCAGTGACCTTCTCCATGGCCTACAAAGTCCTGAAGACAGCATGGCTCCTGTAGCAGAGCTGTCATTTCTGTGTCCCCTTTGACATTCCACACAAAGTTCCCAGCACTGTACCATGATGTCTTGAGTGAGCCATTGAGTCTTCTGTGGTAACTGGAATTCTTTTTTCTCTTTTTTTTTTTTTTTTTTTTTTTTAACAAAACCTTTTTGTTCCTGTTCAGAAGTGTTTCTTTTTTGGAGGAAAAAAAACCCTTCTCCCTCTATTCCCTGTGCATGGGTTGCACTGCCAAATACTAGATTGGATGTTCCCTTTGCAATTTGTCAAGTGCTTACAATTCTAAACATGAGATGATGCTGTATTGATAGAGTGTTTGATAATTTTCTACAGATGCACTATTTTTGGCTGTAGCTCTGAAGTCTAAATCAATAAAGACAAGATTAAAAAAAAAGCCTGTTTGTATTTTTGTTTTCATTTTGACTCTTCTCACTGCAGCCAGCAAATAGCATGTCACTATGTATCAGGAAGAGATTCCAATCATACAGTTCTCTGAAGAAAGCTTACCTTAATAATAAGATATAACCAGTAATGCTAGCCTTGTTCTAAAAAAAATCTTTGATGAAAATGTTTGTATAATCCACTTTGGGATTAAAAAATTTAAACTGTTGCAGCTCCATTTCTTTCAGTTGAATAGATTAAAAAGAAAGAAAATATTTGTGCTAAATTCTGTTTGGAGACCGGTAAAAATTTGAAGTAATTATTTTTGTTAGGGCTCCTGCAAATGTAATTTTTATGACTGGATAAAGTGCAGACCTTTTGTAGAGGAATTTTTTTTTTCATTTTTGAATAAATTCAGCATAAAATGAGTGACACTTGCAAATGTAGCTATCAAGTAATTCAGATGCACATATATAATTAGTTTGTGTGTCATATTGTCATAAATATGTTTCTGATAGGAAATTTTGCTCTTTGCTTACATCTTCCTATGATGTGTTAATTTGAAATACATTCTTTTAAAGAATTTTCTCTGCCTTTTCTTTGTTTGGTTGGTTATTTTGGGGTTCTTCAGTAGCTCTGGCTTAAATAAATATCACGAGATTTCAAGTGACCCCGAAATGTTTTTATTTGCAGTGTGCTGGTCATTGAGAAGTTTTAAACGGCAGAAGTCACCACCTTTGTTTTTTTTTTCCTAGCCCAGAAGTTGTGCCCCTAAGGGATGGCCCAGAGAGGAGCTGGAGAGTTCTCACTGCTGCTTCCACATGTCAAAGATTTTGTTTGGCTTTTTGTATGGGAGTTGTTGAACTGCAAGAAATAAAACTAGAGGGCTTTCCTACATACCCACAGTTGTGAGGTGGGAGTTGGGGCAGTGTTATGTTAGGCTGCAACTCAAAAGGGTGGCAGGAGGAATGGGGAAGAATTCAGAGAGAATGGTTTAATCCAAAGAGGATTTTTATTGCAATTTAAAGAAGAGAGGGTGGATCTTGAAATCAAGAAGTTAACGTTGATTTACCAAAAGTTAAATCTAACTAATGAGTAAAATAACAAAGAGCTGGATCCTCTAGAAGAAGGATGAGAGGAGATGATTGAAAGTTGAACATTGGAGAAATTCAACTCCTAACATGGCAGACTAAGCTCACAGCAGCAACTCTGGGTTAGCAGAGGCTCCAACAGGAAACATGGGAACATTTTGTGTTTCTTCACCACTTCCAGCCGGTGCTCTTTTCCTCCTGTTCCTTCTTCCTCTGTTAGGTTTTATGAGATCTTGAGAGCAGCTACCTTGGATTGCATTGCTGTAACCAAAGCCACCAGCTCTTCTGGTTTGAAAGGACCAGTGATGGAGGGTGGAGGAGCAAGGCTGCAGCCTGGAGCTGTGTCCCAAACCAGCCATTGTCACAGCCAGCCTGTGTCTCCTTTGGCTTCCTTCTATCATGATAACAGCATCTAAAGCTCTATTTCCTCCTCACTACTTTGTAGCTTTCCTCTTCCTCCCAGCTGTGTGTCTGTCCATCCATTTAGAGCAAAGGGAATGAGCAGAGGGCCCTGTTTGAAATGCAGCAGCAGCAGTGAGTCCTCTCCTTGAGCATGGAAAAAGCTCTTCAGACAAGCCTGCTTGTCCATGCCAGGCCTATTCCAGCTCCTTTTGCATCAAGTTTCTGTACAGAAATCTCGTTCCTGGGGACTGTCTTTAACTCTGTGATCTTGTATTTGAAACAAAACTGATTTTAAATCCCTTCCATTTGCTCAGTGGTTTCAAAGCCCAGAACATACACTTGCTATGTGCTGAGAAGTAGAAAAGATAAATGGAAACCCTTAGAAATACCTAGAGTGATTCAATATTATTCTGTGTTTCTCTTGCATTTATTTTAAACCTATATTTTATTTTCCTTTGCTCCCACAAATACCATCTGTGCATCTGGGTGGGGTATGTGCTCAATCTGGGAAATGTGCCTTACCAGATTCTGTCAAACACTGACTGCCAGCTCCATAAAAACTGTGTTGGAGTGGTCCTTGTCACACAGCTCTTGCATTTCTCTGGTCCCTGCCCTGTAGAGGTGCACTGTGCCTGTTGTACAGGTGTACATTTTGAAAGGTTAGCACATTTCAGGAGAGCTAGCAAAGGAGAAGGAGAGTGTTAGTTGAATTTATTACTCAGCTAAAATGAATTTTCACCTTTTAAAACATGTACATGGATTTCAGACTGCTAGTATCAGGTTCTCTTGCAAAATCATCAGAAGAACTGACTGTTTCTGTTTGACCTGGTGGAAGTACAGGAAGGGCTGCTCTGTGGGAGCCATGTGAAAACAGGTCAGACCATCAACTTCTGTGCTTTATTTCTGTTCATTATTCCCCTAACTCTCACCACCAGGCTTGGACAGCTGGAGAAACTACTGGATTTCTTCTCCCTGCTCATCACTCCTGGCATTTTGTGTTCTTCTCCCATGTACATTGTGTGTCTTTGTTGTGGCTCTAACAGTTGACCACGAAGCACCTCAAAATGCCATAATAAAATAAATGAAACGACATAATCTGGTTAGCTGAGTTAATCTCTGAGGGAATTTCTTGGGCTGCTTTGTTTTCAGAAGTGTAAACCTGAGGAGCAAGTCCTCAGTTTAGTTTTTTATTGTGTGGGTAAATGCTTACAAGCCTTTGGGAAAAATGACTTTGTGCTGGTTTTTCCTGGCTGCAGACACGTGCACTGAAGGCACTGAATTGTTGGGAGAGATGATGGCTGGTGAAGAACTCTGAGCTAGGACTTGCTGTTTGATCATGACTTTTTGTCCTGTCACAATGAAGAAAGTGTTTAAAACTATAAATGATACATTAAACATTTCCTGGAATTTTCAGAAACAAGTGCATGTCTGAGTTTCACTGCCTTCGAGGTATTTATTTCAAGAAGCTGGGTCAATGTTTCTGTAAGTGATGGAATTGCTTGTCATCAAAATACAGAAGAAGAAAAGCCTGGGCTCTTAACTCAAATCACTCTGGGGTTTGGAAAAATTCTATTTACCTGAAGCCAATTATTGCTCAGCTGTGTCTATTCCTGGTTATTTACAGAAACAAATCCAATCTAGATTTTTTAATGGAAAATGCTTGTAATGTATGTCTTTTCTAAGAGCAAAAAAGAAGAAGCAGAACTTTTAGAATACAGTTTTTAAAGTGTTGTCTGTCATTATTCAAGCTAATGGAGTTTTCATTTCAAGGTTGAAGATTAAGAACTTTTCTCTTTTCCAAATGTTGTTCTGCCAACTGAGATGGCACCAAGTGCTCTCTGAAAGGTTGTATTGACATGTGTTAAAATACTCTCATGATTAAATATCTCTGGCTGTTGGACACTTAGAAATGTAATACCTCTTTGTGATTCACTTTAAGTGATATTCAGGCTTCCAAATCTTGATTAGTGACTCCCAGTCATAGATTCTGAAGGCTAAAATGGATCATTAGCTCCTTCAGCCTGACCTCTAGTGGAAAAGATGCCATGGGATGGCTGCCCTTCTGCTGAGGTTAGTTCAGTCCCAGCATGACTTCCAGAAAGGTGTGTGATCCTCATTCATTGGGAAAACAGGCATTGATTCACTCTTTTCTGTGCCATTGGTTCTCTCTGGTGTATATGTACACTAAACTGAGGTTTTAAACACACCACGGCTCGGTTTTGTTAGCTTTGTTAGGTTTTTGTTGGGTTTTTTATTTTTTTATTTTGATTGAGGCAGTTCTTATTACATTATTACAGTGCAAGGTGGAATATGAAATATTTTATTCAGGATTTTTTCTCCTACAAAGCACTCTGCTCCAATTTAGCAGTGACCATGTAATCTCCACAGCTGAATGCTTTGACACCTGGTTCTTTGCTGGTGGGCCCTGGTGTGCATCACCACTGACAGCATCATTCTTTTATTTTTTGTTCTCACACGTGGGAGAACTTGGAGAGAGCTTAAGAAGAGGAAGTTCCAAGGAACCTGCCTTTTTACTATAAAAAAAGATATTTTCTAAAGAGACAAAAAGAAGACTGTTTGCCCCATGGGTACTGCTTGTCCAGTGAGGGGGAATAAATTCAGAAGGTAGTGTCAGTCCTGTAGAAAAAATGAGAATAAAGAAAAGAGAGAACTGAAAGGAAGGAAATGATAGCTTAGAACAGCATGAGGGAGCAAAGTGGATGAAGAGTGGTAGCTGAAGTGTGGTAAGAGAGGCAGGTATCTTTCTGCTTTATAAAATTGCTTTCCTATCTCTTTAAAGCAAGTTCATTTCTAAGAATGTTTTTCTTTGTGTATCCAGTCATTAAATATCAGCAAAGAGGATTATAAATACCTCAAATCAGGATGGAGAAGAGCCATGGGCTGTGTAGCTAATTCTGTTTAATCAGATGCCTTAAGGCACCTGTGGCACACAGAGCACTGCAGTGGGAGATGACATTGTGTGACCATAAAACTGCCCCCAAAATGACATCACACCTGCAGCAGGGAAAGGATCATTATTTCCTTTTTTTTTTTTTTTTTTTTTGCCTGGAGAGTCTTAGATGGCACTTGCTTTCAAATTTACCTAAAACAATTCCTTTTCACTACAATGCTTTCATGGAAACCAGAAAGGACCTTCAGAAGGGGGAGTTTGGGAGCTCAGCTCTGGAGGTTGTCTCACATTTCTTGGAAGAATTTCTGAGCTTCATCTCTCACCCTCACTGTAGGAGCTGTAGGGATTAGTGCACGTGGAATTGCCACAGAAGTGCTCAAGGTAGGTTTAAAATTCTTAATCTCCAAGTATCTAAGAGATCTAAATAATTGCTATAAAGGTAGAACTTAATCTGCTTCCTCTTCTGATAGAAAGTGACACTAAAACCTCAATTTTCCTTAAAGAGCCTGCAGTTATGTGTGCATGACTGCCTCATTTCTTTAATGCTGGCAACTAAACAGTGCAAAGTTGTTTTCTGTGGGATTTTCACATCCAAGCAGGTGTGGTCCA